AAATTTATTTAAGTCGAAAATGATCAAACAGTGATTTACACACAATGCATTAAATAACCATGTATAAAATATACCACTGTATTGTAATAAAAGTTAGTTATTTTCAAATCAGTAGTAATAAAAGTTACAACTTCAAATTCGATTCATTTTACTTTTAAAATTTCTTTTTGAAAGAATAAATTTCAATCTTTTTATTAAATTTTTTTACCTTTTTTTTAATGATTTTTTTTTGATGATAAAATCATAATCTAGCTGGAACAATGTCACAATACATTTCTGTCTTTCTATCAAGAACATCATACTGGACGTAAATTAACATGGTGTTATCATTTATCACGTGGTGAAGTTGTAACAAATTATACTAAAACTCGATATATATTTCAAGTAGGTTTATGTGTATAGATATTTTTTTCAGTTATTTTGTCTAGGTGTGATTATAGGAGTGCTTAGATTGGTGTGCCTCATTGAAGCCATGAATTCATTCAACTACACTGTAGATCTTTTTATGTGTACGTACGTTAGTTCCAGTTGCCATATCACATGAGCGCAGAGATGCAGTTGTCAGTTCAAAGCTCATAATGGTAGAGGTAGTGATCGAAGATATCATTCGATAAGTTTAAAAGGAGAAAAGAAACTGCCATGAGGAACTTGGAAGATGAACTGATCAGTGTTATTAGATCACCATTGTAAATGTGGAAGTACCAGAGGACCGATTCATTCTTTTATGAGATTCCACAACGGCGTACATGCATTCTGTTTCGCCTGCACGTAAACACGTCAACTCGATATACTTGAACTATTACGAGTTTACCTAGTCGGAAAAACGAGAACGAGGATCCGGTGACACGACATGCTCCTCAAATCCCATTATTCCGACCCCCATATTTAGTAAAAATAAGAAGACCTGATATGAAGTAGAAAATGTATTCTACAAGCATCCAGAAAGTACGAGGTCCGAATCCAAAAGAGAATCAGGATCCCGGACTAGGGATCCGGGACCAAGCCCTGGTCCTGGTCGTGGTCATAAAATGTTACAGATAATGCGTATTTATACATTTTGGTCGAATAGGAAACAAGATCGAAGTGTGTGACATTGACAGTTAAGACGACCAATAGGAAGCAACATTTGAAGTGACATTGATAGTCAGGACAACCAATAAGAAACAACATTGGAGTATGTGACATTGACAGTTAGGACGATCGTAAAATTGACCAGTAGGAATTAACCAATAGGAATTGACCAATAATTCTCTTAGGATATTGGATGAATATCCTAATACATTTACAACGTGCGAAATCGCGCACAAATGTTCAACCTTTTGGTCGCTAAGCTGATATCTCATTTAAATCGATCAAATGTATCAATTACACATAATTATATAAGTAAAAAAAATTGTGAAAGAGCTTTCTTGCTTCACCACGAACTAACCTCATCAACTTGATGTTGTTTCATACCGTAATAGTTCCCACATACTAATTTCGAATTTCTTTGTTATATTTTAATATTTATCATACAGTTTCCTGACTTAAGTCATACTTACTTACTTACTTACTTACTTACTTACGCCTGTTACCCCCAATGGAGCATAGGCCGCCCACCAGTTTCCTCCAACCAACTCTGTCCTGGGTTTCCATCTCCAGTTCTGTCCAATGTTTGTTCATTCCTCTCATATCTTTTTCTATTTCTCGGCGTAATGTATTCCTTGTTTTTCCTCCTTTCCTTTGACTTTGAGGGTTCCATGTAAGGGCTTGTCTTGTGACGCAGTTAGGTGCTTTTCGTAATCTGTGTCCTATCCACTTCTACCGCTTCTTCCTGATTTCCTCCCCCACTGGACTTAACTCATAGCAAACGGTTTTTTTGTATTTTATATGATGAACTCTGTTATGCGTCGTGGTTTGTAGCTGGCTGCTAGTTGTCCTACAGAATATGAAGATGTTGAATGATTTTTCACTGAATCAAATTAGTATAGTAATGAGTAAAATTTTTAAAATCGAAAAAAAATAATTTTCGTAACTGAAATGAATATGATTGTTATTAATATTATTTTTATTATTAATTTAATTTTTTCTATTCAACAAAGGTATCCACATATCAAATGTCTGTATTAATGTTATATAATACATCATTAGTGTATACAGTATCAGCAATTCAATTACAAACTGGTATTGAAGAAGCAACATTATTACAAATTTTACAAATTTTATTAAAAGCAAAAGTATTAAAAATTGTCTCTGATCCAAATAGTAGTAATGATATGATAGATCAAACAAATATAATGAATGATGATTCAAATGAATCACAGCTATCACCAGATACACATTTAGCATTGTATACAGATTATAAAAAGTTAGTTTATTATTGTTTTGTGGTGTTTATTGTTTTTGTGTGTGTGTGTGTATGTGTATTCATTCACATGGCATTGACATCATGAACTAATCAATGGAAATAGGCAAAAGAACTGAACAGCTGAACAGTGTTCACCTATGACACCGGAAGCGGCAATTAATGCTAGCGCTTTCAATCTTGCACACAAACGCGTTACCGCTTGACTACTGAACCGATATCCAGATTAGTTTTCAACTGGATACTTTGAAGTTAAAAGTCGATTGTTCACATTATTAGGCTACCCACTTGTGTGCACTGATAAAAGAGAAAGTTGAAAAAAATGGTAATGTACAGATCAAGAGATAAGGTAATAGTTGATTACATCACTGACTTTCCATGTAAGTCAATGTACACAAGCATTGATAGTTTCAATTATTTAGAAGGTTGTGTGCAATGTAAAACCAAATGACTATGTGAACCAGTTCAAGCCGTCATTTTCACAGCAAGAGGAAATTACCACATTCAATCTCAGAGGAGTATGAGCGGTGACAGTAGTAATGGGAAGATTAAGTATATCAAAGTAAAACAAAGTATGATATTTCGAGACTCAGTTTTTAAGAAGAGGCTAAGAGTAAATGTATATGCACCACTGAAAATGATTTTGATACATGTCATTGAAAATCTCTAACCACTGATTACGATTGTCACGCGAACTCCAATCAAGTAAACTGACATGACGCAATCCAATCGTCAGTGCCTTGATGGACTGGTGTTTCATGTTGGTTTGACCACCTCTACTTTTCTTCCGATCTACCTCCACAGCAGAAATCATTTCTTGTGAAGGTAGACAGTCGGTAGTTATGGAAACGTGACATATGTCTCAAGCACTTCTATTTGCCTTCCTTGCCCAAAATCCTATTTGTAAAATAGGTGTTGCTTACTTGGTTGCTTTAAAATACTCAAGCAATATTTCGTAGATACGTACGATCGAATACTGGTAACCTGCGTATATCCCTTATTCTGAATAGCCATGTTTCACATTCTTGAAGTAGAATACAACTAGCTACTATGGCAGTAAACCCTTCCTTTATTTAACAAACACATCTTGTCTCTCTCTCTTGTCTTGTATATGTACCATGTTTTTAATCAAGTTAATATAACTTATCAGTGCACATATATATAGTTCATTATAAATCTTTGAAGTAACCATTGGACTTGCGCTGTCTATATCTGTTTGTCCCGTGATAACTTTCACTTTGAAAATGCAATACCATGATAATGTTAAATATTATTCTATGCAAGATGTATCGTTTATTATATAAATAGAAAAACAAATGGTTTCATTATTATTTTTTTTTCTTAATCATGTCTGCCATGTCACGTAACTCTTCATTTTTCGAAATACTTCATATAATATCTGTTGTGTTGCATATGTTTAGTCGTTTACGGAAAAAAAGAGTTCTAGTGTTTTTTTTTCTAAAATTGTGGTTATTCTTGTGTATGTTAGAAATTTTTCCTTGTTGATATTATTTATGCCCTGATTATCAACAAAATGTACACAATGTTGCCCCTCGTGCTCGATCACATGTTTATGTTGAAAAAATTTTAAATAATGAATTCTCTTAGTCGTTTTTTTTTCTGTTGTTCGAAAAAAAAGTGATCCGAAATGATTTGCGCCACATGTTAGTGACATACAACAATGTGTAACTGTACAAAACAACACTAGCAATCGAAGATAATTGTGTAAAATTATTCATAGACATCATCACTTTTAAGTAATTTGCCTTGAAATAATACTTCGTATATGTAATCGACAAAATTACAGTTTATTCTAAAAACATACACCAAAATAAATATGATTTACCATTCTAGTGGTGTACAAACTATACAGTTAGTAGTTAGTCAGTCGCATCGATCCACTTCATGACAAGACGTCAGTATATGACGAGATAAATACCAAACAATTAATAGTATCAGTGATCGTAAATAAATACATTAAAAATCAAAACTATTATTCGAGTTCAGCGAAGAGAATAAATCAGTGTAAAATAATCGTAGAAATAACAACAAATAAATAAATCTGCGCTATTCACACTGACTCTAAACCATAATAATAATAATAATCAGGTACATGCATGCAAAACGTAAATTCTTTAACAAGAACACTTGTCTTTTGCAAAAAAAAAATTACTACTATATATATACGACTGACGATATTACACCTGTACAAGTTATTTGTGTACTTTGTTCAATAAATGACCTTGAAATGCAATATATACATATCAACAAATAAATAAATAACAAGAATCATAATGAGGAATGCAATTTTTCAACTTTTGAAAGCAATGCTCTCAGTCTAATCCTATGATTTTCATGTTGATTTTATTAGCAGTTAGTAAATAGTTGTGCATCGAAAGTTTTTTAATGCATAGGTGTAGGCTACTTTTCAATTTTCCATCAAATAAAAAATCAAACAAACAAACAATATTCATTACAATGTTTACTAGTCGTCATCACCAGAAGGTCTGACTTTAGAGCTTTCAAGTATCCAAACGATATATATATATAGATATATTTCTACACTCACTCATGTTGTTGTTGCTTGCAGTTTATACCTGAGTTCATTCCAATACACGTAGTAAACAAAACAAACAAAGGATGTTTATCTTTTCGTGAAAAAACAACAACTTAGTAAACAGATTTTTAAAAAAAATATTGTTATTTTGATCATCTAATGAAAAAGAAATTTCTATATATGATACATTGATTTTATTTTCTTTATGGATAGATAGATTTTTATTGGTAATTTTCTCTCGTCTACTTTATTTCTGTTAAAAATGTTTGTTTTTTTCCCTTAAATACATTGTGTAAGAAAATGAAAGCTATTCTGAGTGAGCTCTGTTTGATAATGTTTCAAGTTACTGAGTTGTAAGCATTTCAATAACTTCCGGCTTACGGAGTTGTGATGGTGTTGTAACGCTGCTACGTATACCTATTCAATCCTACCGACGTCCAATTCAAATATTCCAATACGACCCAAATTGCTATTTCCAAATCTCCTATATATTAGAACGCAACACCGTTGCATGGAGTTGTTTATTGGGTCGAGTACAGAAGAGAGGTAGTCAGGAGAAACGGAATTGGAATCCGAATCATCAAGTCTTTCAGATAGTGCGTATTTATACATTAAGGTCGAATAAGAAAGAGCATCAACATCTGTGACATTGACAGTTTAGGACGACCAATAGAAAAGAACATTTGAATGACACTGATAGTCCAGATGACCAATAAGAGGCAACATTGAAGTATTTGACTTTGACAGTTAGGACAATCATAATTTCGACCAATAGGATTGTACTTCTAAAAATAGTATTCTTAGGATATTTGGTGAATATCCTGACAGATGGACTGCGGACAGATGATTTCATTGCTGTACAGCCAGCCTTCTTTCATTCCACAATGTCAATGTTATAAACTGATCACTGTAACTAATGTGTATACACAAATAAGAGACAAATATAACTGAATGCTCACCTTTAAACCAACCATTCTGATGTGTCATCCAATGTTGATGTTGAGTATTGAGTAGTAGTACTTTACTTACTTAGGCCTGTTAACCATGATGGAGCATAGGCTACCGACCAGTCTTCTCCAACCTACTCTGTCCTGAGTTTCCCTTTCCATCTCTGTCCAATTTTCGTTGATCCTTCTCTGTTTCGCAGCGTAATCTGTTCATTCGCCCTCCTCTTTTTTAGTTTCACCTTGAGGATTCCAAGTGAGGACTTGTCTTGTGATGCAGTATGAGTATTGAGTTGTAAATGGAGATTTATTCAGTTGCCTATCCCCCCCATACATTATTAGTGCACTGGGTAAAATGAATTCTGATGTTCAAATTGAAATTATTATCCAGTGATATAGACTTTCTATTTGATATTATGATATAAATAATTATTGTAACCCGTATGGGCTTAATTGGACATTTGGTGTGTTAACTAACTGTCGTTTTTCTTGGAGAAAGAGTTATTCAAGATTCCCATTGTGAAAATTAAAACAACACATTTAATCGAACAGCAGTGTTGTTTTCGATTAGATCGTCATCTGGCTTTATACTCTCTAATATACATGAATATTTAAACTAATCAAGGCAATTTAAATTATAATCACAAGGAAATGAAATAGATGATTACGTCACTACATATAAATAGGCAAAACTTACAAGTACTATCCACTTGTACTTTTACCTATTATATGTAGAGTGACGTAATCATCTATTTCATTTCATTGTGACATTAGTTTAACATTTTCAATATAAAAAATATTCATGTATATTAAAGAGTATAAAGCTTGATGACGAAAACAATATTGTTCGCTTATTTATTATATGTGTTGTTCAAATATTTATTCCTTATCTTTTCTTAAATAGAAGAATTTATCTCTTCTGATGTATTTTACCGACTTTTTTTTATAAAAAAAAATAATTTGCTTTCGTAAAAATTGTTCAGTTGTTGTTCATTACTGATATACATTTATTTGTACCTCGTGACGACCAGTTAATTTAAAATTTATGCTTTTACAACATTTCGTCTAAAAAGGAAACAAAAAAAACCAAATTACAGAGATTGATTGATTCTTAGTAATAATTTAATATAATTTGCTTTTTAAATTGATATCTTTGATTCCTTATGTGTTTTTCTCTCTCTCTTTCTCGGTTTTTGTTCATGTCAATTTTTAAAGTAAACGTGTTCGAGTCTATTTGAATGTTCCATTGAAAAGTGAAACAAAACAAGAAATTGAACAAACTTTAGGCAATGTTGAATCGGATCGAAAATTAATTGTTCAAGTTAGTTGATTTTGTGTTTTTTCCCTCAAATTATTGTTTTGCGGGGGTGAGGGCTTTTTAAATGTGAAAATATTTGTTTTGTTTTCACTTACTATATGTAAAAGAGTACTATTGTAGTGAACGAGAACACAGGTGAGGGCAACCGGATTGTGTTTATCGCAAATTACAGAGTTACTCAGTAAAATTGGAAAACCATATCGTAAATCGTTAATTTGCAAATCTTCAATCCATCATATCGAACTGGACTGTTCCTGTTGCAAAACATCAATCCATTGTCTGACATTTCACTTATTCATGCGTTTCATACAAATTCCATTGTTTTCTAACTTTTCCTTTCTTGATCTTCCCCCATCTTATGCTGCCAGACATTACGTTGACACTCATGTCATATACTACTTATAAGTAGCTCGCACCACACTGTGACTTACTGGTGTATATATGAATACTTTTCTTTCTTACGCCTGTTACTTATCGTTTAGTATAGGCCACTGACCAAGATTCTTCAAATAACTTTATCCTTTCCAGTTGTTCCCTTGTGTGATATTCATTCTTTTAATGTCTGCCTCCAGTTGCCGGTGCAATTATGCTCCTTGATGTTTTCTACACCTACATAATATTTAGTCATAAAATTTGTTTACTGTATGTAGAGAGGCATATAAGACAGTTTCATCTCAATAATTCAATGTAATATAACGTGTACATGACCGGCATATGCAGCTTATATGTGATTAGTCGGTTAGTTATTGTTCAATATAAAAAATGACACATACACGTTCATTTGTCAAGATTTCTACATCCTCATTAACAGGATGAGATAAAATGAACAAGTTGAATAATAGTAAACGAAACAAAACTAATTTTTACAGTGTGGTGGATACTGCTTGCATGGAGGCTTGTAAGTAGTAAGTAGTATGCATCAGAATCTTGTGTAGAAGTTGCTACAGTCAACAGCTGTAGATAAGAATTTCCGTAAGTCAAAAGCACCGTTTGGAAGTTTGGAATACTTTGGAGACTAGAATAGAAGCGATTGAAAACACTCAACAAAAACGACTTGAGTTACAGAATATACCACAAATGCAAATGAATTTACATATTGCACAAATAATCCATGCTTTCTTTAAAAATACGTACAATACTAACTCTGATTTGGATGCTGTCGGCTCAGTGGTCTAGAGGTTATATATTCGCTCGTGAGACCGTACGTCCTGGGTTCTATTCCCGCGGTCTTGGATAAGCACTGCTGATGAGGATAAAAAGGCCGTTCAGTGCTTCCAAGTTTACTTGTCTCCTGTCTCTGTAATGTACTATATAGCCAAGACTAGATGAAATATGTATACCTATGTTTGAAGAAGACAGTATTCACACAAAATCATCAACAATTCATTTGCAATACACTCTAATCGCTCCACGTGTTTCGATCTCTAGATATTCCTCTTTCTCTATCTCTCTCCCTCTCTGGTAGTAACTTCTTAAGCAATTTTCGATTGTATACTACTTATATACTTCCTACCTTGTGAGTAGTATCCACCGTATCTTTACAAGTTGTTTACATTCAAAGCCAATTATAAATGTTGCATTTAATATCCCTATTCATTTCAATGTTATTTTCAATAATTTGTTTGTTGTTGTTCTATTTTTTTAATCAATTAATCACCATAGGCTTGTATAGTACGTATAATGAAGACTAGAAAAGTTATGAAACATCATCAATTAATCTCTGAAGTTGTGACACAATTAACACCTCGATTCAAACCAACTGTATTATTAATTAAAGTAAGTTTTATATAATAAGCTCCATAGTTTAATTAACTGTTATTATATGTAATTAAAGACTCCTTCTAGGGTCTTCTGGGATTACTGCCGGTTCCAAATCTGTATAAATGTGGAAGGTTGGGCATATAGTTAGTGACTCCATCTCGTAGAAAATCAACACGCTACAAAAACACTAACCGGAACAAGTAGTGCTGATCGGCGCCTTTTACTCCATTAGGGGTAGCAAGCGTAAGTAAGAAAGTAATGTATAATTAAAGAGAATAGAGAATGGTAAACAAACACCTAAAGGTTGATAGTGTTGCTAAAATGTTAGCGCTGGATTTGGTAGATAGCGCGTTTATGATTTCGACTAGTGTAGTAGTTCATAGACGATTGTCAATCTCATCATTTACAAACCTTCGATTTGTACAATTAGGTGCTGGGTTGAATACCCACCCACCTTTGGTGTTGTCATAAACACTCACTACTGATGAGTCCTATACTAGGACAAAACAGACGTCTAGTGCTTCCAAATGTTGTGAAACAATAGTCTTAAAGCGATTGATTCATGAAAAATATATATCGCTTCGATTTCCTATGCTTTTTTATCAAGGAAACGTGATCAAGTTCAAATTTCTTTCAGTTTGTTGAGAAAATAAATTTAAATCATTTATGCATCGATTTATAGCACTGTTTATTTTCGTTTCAAAATAGATTAATTCTGTAATTGTATTCATTGTTTTAAATAGCAAAAAGTATTGACTCATTTTTGAAGCTGGTCGTTTATCTTAAATAATCAAAATAAATTAAACTTACTTACTTACTTACGCCTGTTAACACCAATGGAGCATAGGCCGCCCACCAGTTTTCTCCAACCAACTCTGTCCTGGGCTTCCCTTTCCAGTTCTGTCCAATGTTTGTTCATTCCTCTCATATCTTTCTCTATTTCTCGGTTCAATGTGTTCCTTGGACTTCCTCTTTTCCTTTTGCCTTGAAGGTTCCATGTGAGGGCTTGTTTCGTGACGCAATTAGGTGTTATTATAATATGAATTATTTCAAAGATCACTCATCTCTATCATTAGTTGTCCTATTCTATAAGAAAGAACAAAAGTTTTCTTGTGACAATCGCAGGAGGAATCAGTTTATCTCATATAGTGTCTAAATTGTTAGCCTCGATAATACTTCGGCGCATAACTATAGCTCATGAAGAGCATACTCAAGAAACTAGGCTGGTTTAAGATGTGGACGTGGATGTATAGACAACATATTCACAGTTCGACAAATCCTAGGACACAGACACACATTCAAACGCCACACGATATTAGTATTTCTCGACCTGAAAGCGGCATTCGACTTCGTTGATCGTGAGGTTCTGTAGCAGCGTCTGTCATTGAAAGCTGTACCAATGAAGTACATTAACCTTGTACTTGGCTCTATAATCGAACGCTTCTGATCGAGTAAGAGCTTATGGCAAACTGTCATCGGGATTGACTACTTCAAGTAGTGTTCGTCAGGATTATCCACTATCCTCATTCTTATTCAACTTTATCATCGACATGCTTTTAGAGATAACAAACACTCTTATCGTCTGACGTTTCAGAAGTTCATTTTCTTCTACCAAGTGACTCGCTCTTCGACGTAGAATATACCAATGACATAGTTGTTTTCACACGCTCACTACTTTTGATCAATTTGAATACATTTAACGTATAAATTGCGGTTTTTTCTTTCTTTCAGCGATGTATTACTGCACTTATCGAAAGAGAATATATTAAACGCGATAATAATGAACGAGATGCTTATGAATATTTAGCTTAGTCTACACTTTACATTATTGTGTGCCCTATGTTTCTGTGTGTGTGTGTGTGCGCGTTGATCTTTTATTCTATAATAGTGGGGCTTTCTTCTGAAAAAAACAAACCAATTTTATTTTCATTCATTATGATTTGTTACCCCTTTTTTCTCTTTTCTCTCCTCTTTTCTATTCTCATCTCATCTCATCTCGTTTTCTTTTATGCACCTTCCCAGCACAAATCTATCTATCATATTTGGCCATACATAGATTTGTGTGTGGGGGTTTTTTGTATTTTTTACAATAAATGCTTTTCAAAACAATTGTATCATAATAATTATGGATTACAACAATCATAATATTAATAATTAATTAATACCCACACACATACACACAAACTCATACGCACTACAACAATTTACGCAGTGCTACAATGCCCATTGTATTGCTGCTGTGTTTGTGTGTGTATGTGCCCTTTTTTCACTTTATTTCTTTGTTTTAAAAAAAAAACGAGAAAAGTTACTTGAACATTGAATTTTCAATTATTTGTCATCATCATTATGAATAGCGAAAATTGAAAAAAAATAAACTGACATTTTTTGTAAAACACCAACAACAACTACTACAACAACACTTTTAACAATTATTTATTTATGTCCCAGTTTAAACGTAAATTCTTCGCTTGACATACAATGTGTATTCTTTCCTGCTCTCCTCTGTCTTCTTCGTCTCCTCTTATATATATATATATATATTGTACTGTTGTTTATGTGGATAAGATATTTTGTGCAATTCTGTTTGGTTTCATCTCATTATCAAATATATATATATATATATATATATATATATATATATAGACGGGAATTTTGATATTCACCCCTAGCATTTTTTGCACATTTTATTTTTAATGTGTTCTTTGCTGAGATAATAAAACTGTTACTACAAAATATAAATAAGAAAAAAAAACTGTTTATCATAGTTTTTTTCTTTTCATTTTGTTTACTTATTCATTCAAAGTGGGTTGGTTAAGAGAATTGCGCTCGCTGTTCAATGCTGGTGGTAGGATAGTTCATCCTCTTCTAAATATTATTGCGCAGTAAGCCACATGTGTATAACCACAGACAGGGAAGTTTTACTCACTGTCTTCTTGTAACACTAATGTTGTTTATGAAAAATGAGAGAATGAGAAGCGAGTGTTCAGAGCTTTAACCGAGTTTGAGGATATGGATGATTACCTAGAGGATTTGCGAAGCCCATGATTGCAAGCTAATAAAGTACATTGGCTCCAGGATCCTGAGGGAGTAAACGGCGTATGCATCTCGTGACGTTTATCCACTGCCTTGCGAATGAAACTTTTAGGTTTAAGGAGTGACCCTCTCAAAGAAAGAAAACTCCCTGTTTCGGTTTGAGCTTTCGAGCACTAACTATCCTAGCCTAATCACAAATTCAATAGTTTGTGTGGAGAATAAATATTACACACTGCCTCTTTGTACTATTGTTTATGTGCTTAACTAGAACAACAGAATTAAGAATATTCCTATCTACACATGTATCAACAATAGTATTTTTCTTAGGAAAACGTATCGTCAAACTGTCCATTTTTTTTTCTGTTTTATATGTAAAATACTGAAAGAAATGTTAATTTAACATTCACTCTATGCTTACAACAATTTCCAAACAACTTGTATTTGGTGTTTAAATCATTTCGGATGTTGTAAAAATGACCTGATTCTGAGGTATGAACTGTAAATAATTAACAATCGTTTATTATGGTAAACGTACTATCCTTTTACCCAATCATGTCATTTCTAATATATTGAACTATTATAAGCATTTCGAAAGGAAGTAGTTATCTATACATATCTTCAGGATTGTTTTCTTTTATTGATATTCTGTTTAAATTTTTAATAAATCAATACAAACCTGCTACGAATAACTATGTTTCGATAGATTACGTGATCTAATTCTGAATTTCAAAATTAGCCTTAATCTCTCAAGAAAAAAAGCCAGTGAAATCACTTACTACTACTTACTTTTGAGTTCAATTCCTTTGCAGAATTAAGTTCTCATTGACATATGTGTGGCATATATACATATTTTGAGGTCAGTTTCAATATATCTGGTTGTCAGCTGTGTAGTTTCTTATGAGCATTTTCTAAGCTTCTTTGCTTTCAAATCTCCATTAATTCCTCGTAGATTGTCAATGGTAACCGGATAACTTACAAGGTTAACGACAATATTGATGTAAGATATGCATTGACAAAAGTTTTGTTAAGGTTTGTCGTCGATTCGTCCTGTTTAAACACAGGAATAATTACTAACAATTATTTTGCAGGAAGTGCTTACCTGTTCAGATGCTACCAAATATTTTGATGATTAGTTAGCTGGATTGCATGAAGTGATGTACAGAGACACTTTTTATGACTTCTAAAAATTTCCGAAAAACTGGTTCACTTCGAAGTATTGTATGATGAAACCATCAAGTCAATTGATTGAGCTGTAAAGCGTATTTGACCGAGAAGGTGAATCACTTACGTAAAAATATTGAGTCGCAAAGTTACAAGCATGTAGGTCAGATCATAACATCATTATTTCTATACCTAGATAACATTCTTGCTAGCAACCACAGTAACCTGTGGTTGGAATCACTTTAATTTATGCTTTTATGATGGCATTCATTCTATGGCTAGTCCTGTGTTGGCAGAAAGCTCAAAATTCAAGCAGATTTGAATTATCTATCCAAAACGCCTACCGAATCATGATCTTTCCTTATCGTCTAGGTTGCATCTTGTAGTGAGTCATTCAATGTCTAGCTCACATGACTTGCCCTCCTGTCTTTTGACCTTGTCAATCATTTGTCGCCTTCATTCATGTGTGCATACCTACTTGCTTGTTACAACATATATGTCTTATTTTTGTCTGACTATAAATTCTTAGTCATGACTTATCTCTTAGAGTTGACTCACTAGCCTTCTCCCCTTCGCTTCATCCATTTATTCGCTTGCCTTCCGATGCTCGCATGACGATTTCATCTTTGAGTGCTTTTAGTCTGCTGGTCTCATAGTGGTGTGCCAAAATAAACGTATTCAACACTTTGACTTCGATTTATAAACCGTCAGACGCTATCTAGTAACGATTGTCTAGATGAGCTAATTACGAAACTTAAGAACACGTTAAATACCAACCGTCACGTAGGTAGTGATACAAAGCACATCATAACCTCATTCGATCGCGAAATCGGGAGTCCATAGACATACTCCCTTTTTCTGCAACTGATGCTTCTGAATAGTAGCATCGGTCACTTGATTGCAGTTTCTCCCAGTTGATCTGCACATTTCTACTGAGAAACATGGATTATGCTGATATATTTATTATGAACAGATTTGTGTTTTCTGCTCAAAGAATCTCATCACTGTCCTAGCAATTTTCTTTCCTTCAGGGATGAATATGTTTTTCCTGTTTCCAGCAGTCCTCAGCATAAATGATTAAGTTTACTGTTTGCATAACTTTTGCAGATGACTCCAAGTGGGAACTGTGATACTGATCACTTTCATGTTCGCCTTCTGCATGTTGAGGCGGGCCAGCTCGTTCGCTCGATAAACCATGACAACTTCGAATTGATGACGACATAATCTTATCTACCTATCAGCGGAATCCGAATACAGTCATCACTGTCATTTAGGACTGTGTCTAGGACCGATGAGGAGTGACATGTTCACAGATTTGATGGAATCCGTTGACTGCCAGACTAAAGCTGTTGATGTTTGTTACGCATACACGTAGAAATGCCATTTTAATATGCTTGAACTATTACGAGTTTACCCTAGTGAGTAAACGAGAGCGATGATCAATGATCTGGCGACACGACAGGCTACTCTAATCCGAGTATCCCGAACCCCCATTGAGTTAAGGAAGACTTGGTGTGAAGTACATATATTTCACAGGCATCCAGAAAGTACGAGGTCCGAGTCCAAAAGAGAATAAAGATCCGGGTGATAAAACGTTACAGATAATGCACATTTATACAGTTAGGTCGAATAGGAAACAATACTGAAGTCTGTGACATTGACAGTCAGAACTACCAATAGGAAACAACATTGAAGTACGTGACTTTGATAGTTAGGACGACCATAATGTTAACAAGTAGGAATTGACCAATAGAATTAGACTTCCAAAAATAATTCTCTTAGGATATTTGATGAATATCCTAACAATGTTATAGTCCCCCCTTACAATTGGCACTCAAATGATCTATAAATGAACCTAGTTTACAGAGGATACATTATAGTTACCTGCGTTAAAGTTTTTTAACTTATTGGTCAGTGTACTTACGAGGTAAAAATATTCGAGCCCTTCATCCCTTTTTTAACTGTTTTTTGTCAGTTATCTGTCTTTTCGAACGCGAAATTACTTATCAGCTTCTATAATTCATGGCAGTGTCATATGCCAAGTTTTCATGTAGCCTTCAATATAGAAGATTCGACTGCCTGGTTTATTTAAAACATGACGCTTGCAGAGGCAGTGAATTCTTATATACCATGTAATATAAGACTTAGAGTAAAACATCAGAAAACGATCAGTGTTATTTATCATTGGAAAGTTGTTATAGAGACTGTTGGGTTTCGTTGAAATTATGACTTAATCATTGTTAAACCACCATTAGAAACCTAGAAGCACTGGACGGCCGTTTCGTTCTTAGGATGGGGCTCCTCAGCAGTGCATATCCATGACCCTCGATCGTGAGTATCTATAATGAAAAAACACTAGTGACTAGAGTTGTGAGGAAATTCTTGCGAGAAGCCGTGATCAGTTAAATTCATTCCTGTTGATTGTAGGCAGTCAACTACCAAATAAAACGGGTGGATTTTCTCAATACCTTGTATCGATTAAAATTAGATATTAGTATCGTTGTTTGCAGTCTCAGAGGTCGAGAGGTTAGGTGCTCTCTCATGAGACCGTAGGTCTCGGGTTCGATTCCCTTGAGAAGAAGAGCTCTTAGATACGCACTGCCGGCGAATCCCACACT